AGATGAATTCCATGTATTATAATAAAGGTGAATGTAATTTGTGTGGATGCTTTTGAATCTTAGTAATGTTGGTGTGACTCACTTTAAAAAGGAACAGCCCAGATACATTGTATTTCCCTTTTACAATATCGTGAAAAAATTATTTCTGAAAAATGAAAGTTTTTACCAATCTTTGATTACTGAAAACTTTAATTTCCATGTTTGTATTAATACTTACTTACTGCCCGTGACGCCTTTGGCGTATAGGGCAAAAGTAAGTACTGTTTCCGTAACAATACTTTTTTTTATGAGTTAGGGTTGTTAGCCCTAAGCTCAACCCCCTGGACTCGGAGGGCCAGTGGTTTTCTGTCAGGGTATCCTTCCCTTAGCCACAGGTTCCAGTTATTTCAAGGCACTGGACACTCGCCTTTTGCCACTGCCACTTAGCTACTAAAGCATTTCCAGGGTCACCACGAGATGGTGTGTCATGTGACTTGCTGGCAGAACCTATTTAGAGACAGTGGGCATTAACTCAAGGTTTTAAGTGGTGAGACCTAGTGGCATAAATATCACCCCTTGAGACCCGAACCAGCATTTGACCCCTGTTTGTATTAATGCAGATATCAAATTTACAATATATGCAAATTTTAAAAAGTAACTAAGGAATGTCTATTAAGTGCAATATCCATTTTTATACCCATTGCAAAAAAATTGGGGGAGGATATATCAGAGTGAATTTGAAATTACAGGGGGCACCAGTTGATTAGGCAGAGGGTCTTGAGGCCCCCAGTGGGTCCAAAGCAAAGGCCTGGTGAGGGGTGAGGGGTAAAGCCCCATGATGCTAGTGATTTCTAGAGATTCTAGCAGGGCAAAAATGAAGTCTTCTAAGAAGAAAATGTCACTATTTCTTGCTGTCATGATTATTGATAAGAATTAATAAAACTACAAGTATTTTAAGGTCCGTGGAATCAAGTGTAGGAGTCAAGCCCCCAGAATCTTCAGCCTTGCAAGAATATGGAAATAAAACCTTTCATTTACACCACATTGTTCGATAAAAAAATTCTTTTCAAAGAAAGAACCATGATTTATCTTGAATTTGATAATTTTAGGGGGTGCCCCCCTTAAATCTGCCACTTTATAGTCTGAAGTGACAAAGTTACGCTCAGTGCATGCTCCAACCTATATTTTATGCTCCTGAGTCCAGTTATGTGTAAGGTTATGCCAACATTTACATATAGGTCGTTTTTCTGTTTGTCATGTATTTCGCAGATATTGGAGCATTTATAAATACTTAATGTGATGCATGCTCCAGATACCTCATCTGATCTACATGCTATGTACAGTAACTGCTGGTCTCTTCCCAGTTTATCACAGATTCTTGTGGATGCTTCATCTGGAGCATGCTTCTAATGCTGCATCTGACCTACACTTTATGTTTGACTGATTTCTCTTGGGGTCAACACTTAGGTCTGTTCATGGCCCATCGCTTTTTGACTTGTATAGATTTTTTGTCTGATGCATTGATTTAAACACCATTTAAGAGTATACAGTATTCGGAATATTCCTCCTTGTGTTAAACACAAATCAACTTTATGTATTTACTCAATTTATTTTGATTTTAAAAATATAAGATTCATACAAAAGACAGGCTTTAAAAATTAATCATAATTTCATTTGCTCCTAACTGCATATAATATTTGTTCTATACTGACACAGTAACAAGATGTTGTCACAGTTTTAGACAAAAAAATGTTAATTAACCTGATTAAAATTGCATACATGCTTCGAAAAAAGGAAAGATTCCATTGATTAACAAAATGTAATTTGTTTGGAAAAAAAAACGTATGTAAAGTTATGTTTCAAGTCTACAATGTAAATTTTGTCAACAAATGTTAAGTACATGTATATTATAAATAACAGTAAATTGTACAAAAATATACAACACATACTATGAAATCACTGGTGTTTACCTAAGGTACTATGGTTTCAAACAATCATTCTGAATTTTTCCAGGCCCTTTTTTTTAATGCACTGTCATAATTTCAGTATTATAAAATTCAGAATTTCATAATTGATACAAATATATGATGTGTCCATAACAGATTTCATCTGATAAGCATGATTTAATTGATATGCTGCAATCTGAAATTTTTAGCCATTCACTTTTTTTTTTTTTTTTTTTTTTTTTGAAAAAAAAAAAACCAAACAGGCAAGATGCTCTAGGCAATTTTTATACATAAAGTTCATATTGTCCAAATTAAACAAAAATTAGAACTTCATTTTTCCTGGTGAACTGCATTGACAACAAAACTATGTAATTTGATACAGATCGCATGGTTTCTATAAATAGACATCTACAATGCATTGTCATCAACTGGATTTCACTTTCTTTACATGTTTCCTCTCTTTATCTGAAAATGATAATAAATTGCAATTATAATTCCACAGTGATAAAACATTTTATATAAAAAAATAATCTTATACATGGATATCTGTAGCTAACTGTTCTGAAAAAATTGGAATAAAAGAGCAGAGGGCTATAGCTCCAAGCATTAAAAAAAAGTACATGTATACTTTTAATGCACACAAAAACTTAGCATGTTTTGAAAATTATTGGTCTTTATCTTTAAGATGCCATCAAAATTGAATGTTATTTAATGTTCCTAACATAGTCTTTTCCTATTTCCCATAAGTCTTTTAATAGCTCTCCTGGGCCTAAAAAAGCCATTATGAGTGGTGAGACAATGCAACCCACTATTATTAGTCCCCTACCGGTGAAACCGGAGGGGACTATAGGTTTCCTCTGAGTCTGTCCGTCCGACTGTCTGTCCGTCCTTCTGTCTGTCTGTCAGTCTGTCCCACTTGGTTTTCTGCACTTTTTTCCTAAATGCTTGCAGATATTGAGCTGATTTTTGGTATGTGAGTGTATCTTGATGAGTTACAGATCAAGTTTGCATTTCGTTCCGCTTCATTGATTTTTGACGGAATTACGGCCTTTTCAATTTTTACGGGTTTTCCGCAATTTTCTTCTAAACGCTGGTAGATATTGAGCTGATTTTTGGTATGTGGCTTTACCTTGATTACTTATAGATCAAGTTTGCATTTCGTCCCGCTTCATTAATTTTTGACGGAATTATGGCATTTTCAATTCTTAACGGGAACCAGATTACACTTGCCGGTAGGGGACTAGTATTGCTAATGCAATACTCTCAGAATCCTTGTTTCACAAGTTGACTTGATATAACTCATGAACCAAGTGCAATAAATATGCACTTATTTGAATGCAGGGAACTGTAGCTTTCTGGTCTACACTCCCAATTATTTTTTTTCAGACCAGGGTTGTCCCTAAGAATTAAAATAGCAGGGGACATTAAAAAAGTAGAGGGGATCTCAGGTTCCTCCCTTAACAGGGGATGAGAGGGAATACCAGAGTAACCAGGGGATTACGTCATTATAGTCGGGGAAATTCCCCAGCCTCTGGGTCTTAGGGACAACCCTGCAGACTGATGTGCTACAGATTTGCAGCTAATTGTCTCTCTAAAATTAATTACAATAAAACTTTTCTGTTTCTACACACACAAAAAAAATACATTTTAAAAAAAGTTCTTGATGCTTCAAACTGTACAGTAACTTACCCCAGAGAGTTTTGTTGATAAATTCTCCAAGAAGGTACAGAAATATGAAAAAGACTAGCAGGGCCATAATGAACACAGCCTTTTGGTGAGGTGATAGAACCTTAAGGATGGGATAAACCCAGATATTGGCATAGAAGGCCACCCATAGGATCCTGTAAAGGAGAAATCAATTACATCAGATATGGCATAGTACATTACCCACAGGATCCTGTAAAAGAGAATCAAACATATCAACAGATATTGGCAAAGAACACCACCCATAGGACCCTGTAAAAAAGAAATCAATCATATAATCAGATATGGCATACTATGCTACCCATAGGATCCTGTAAAAGAGAACTCAAGCATATCATCAGATATTGCCATAGTACAACACCCTACGGATTCCGTAAAAGAAAAATCAATCATATCATCAGATATTGGCATAGTACACCACACATATTATCCCATAAAAGAGAAATCAATCATATCAGATATGGCATAGTACACCACCCACATAATCCTGTAAAAGAGAAATCAATCATATCATCAGATATTGGCATAGTACACCACACATATTATCCCATAAAAGAGAAATCAATCATATCATCAGATATGGCATAGTACACCACCCATATTATCCAGTAAAAGAGAAATCAATCATATCAGATATGGCATAGTACACCACCCATATTATCCCATAAAAGAGAAATCAATCATATCATCAGATATGGCATAGTATGCCACCCAAAAGGATCGTGTAAAAGAGAACTCGAGCATATCATCAGATATTGGCATACATGTAGTACACCACCCATAGGATCCTGTAAAAGAAAAGTGAAGCATAGCATCAGATACTGGCATAGTACACCACCTATAGGATACTGTAAAAGAGAAATCAATCATATCATCAGAAATTGGCATAGTATGCCACCCATAGGATCCTGTAAAAGAGAAATCAAGCATATTATCAGATATTGGCATAGTGCACCATCCACAGGATCCTGTAAAAGAGAAACCAAGCATATCATCAGATATTGGCATAGTGCACCACCCACAGAATCTTGTAAAAGTGTCAAATTAAGTAAATCAAAACAAATATTGGCATAGTATGCCATACACCTGTAGAACCCTGTAATGGAGTGTCACATTTAGATTTATATACCATCTACCCAGATACTGGCATAATACACAACCCTATAATAGAGAATCGCATCATTAATGTATCAACTATTATCCAGATGCCAGTAGAGTATAAACCCATAGAATCTGGTATTCAGGTAATGTTAAGAGTAGCATTTGGAATAATACATCAACTACCCAGATAATCGTAACAGAATGAGATACTGGAGAATTAAAATGAAATTGACATACAGTTTTTCAGATGCATGTATTGGCACAGTACTCTAAAATCATTAGAGATGTATTAAATTCAATGTCATACAAAATTAATGAAAACTTAATACAACTAGAATCAGAAATAGATTGTTTACAGGTTAGGGGCAATTTGACAGATGGACCAACAAACAAACAGTGGCTTTGATACAAGGATTGAGAATTACTGAAATTTTTATCAGATTCTCCACACCACTAACAGGCAAAAATTTCAAAATGAATTCTTGGAAAGAATTTTGTTAAGTGGCCAAATTTCTAATAATTGAGCTAATATAATATTTTGACTGTTGATATTATTATCCAGGAATAAAGTACTTATATGAATCTCAATGCACTGTAACAGAGTTTTCAAATGTTAAATCACCAGTGCAAGATGGTTCAGTTGTTAGAAACTTTTGCCTTATAATATACTGTAAATCACCAAATTTTCGCAAGATAGTAATACTGTATTTATAAGCGAGACAAAACATCAGCAAATTCTGGTTAATGTTCTATGTAATCATTAATAATACCATTATACACAAGAATGAATTTTATGTGAGCAGACAGCCTCGTGAATTTACGCGAAAATGAAGTTCTCAAGAAAAAGTGATTTACAGAACATATGCACGTAAATCTATAATATATTTTAAAGTAATGAAACGAAATAGATTAATTGCTTATGAAGCCTAACGGACTTACCAGGCTAGGTAAGTTAATGCTAAGGAGAGAAGTGTGATGAAGCCAGCTCTTCTGCTTGGATACTGATGGTAAACTAAGAACTTGTCTATCAACAAAAAAGGTAGAATGGTGGTGTGCTGAAAAATAATGTTTGAACGTTTTTCAAAATTCCTTTTATACATTAATAGTAATGAAAGAAAATTATTTGTTTATGATGTTTGCCTTGGGGATAGCTTAGAAGAATTATAACTTGTGAAATATGAATGGATTAAATTGGTTATTGTTTATCAACTCTGTAAATAATGCACCCATACCATAATGTGATTAAGCCAGGATGGAATGACTTTATCAAGTTCTTTGGGATACACCAATTCTCTGTCTATGGCATAAATACCCCAAAAGGTTAAAACGACAAACTGAAATTAATGGTACTTGAATAAAGTCACAGTGAAACTTTTTCCTATAGCACATTGTAAAACTTCCTCAGTTAATCAATCTTTGGAAATACTGTGTAATCAGACTGAGGAAATATTATATTTTCTTTAAAATGGTGTACTGTTCATGATTGATTCATGATTAGTTTTTAAGGAATAAAGCTTGAATTGCTTTGGAAAATACAATACAAATTAAATTAGAAAATTTATATTGTGACAACACAATTGATGCATGTACTATGAGGAATTACGTACCATTCCCACTGGAAACACGATGGTTGCCAGGAAGTTGTCCCTCCACCTCTGTAGACGGCATCGCTGACCTTTCTCTGAGGGCCGGACATTTGTTCCACAGAAATCATTGGCCACACAGAGCCCAAAATATACTGTCTGGATTATCTGGAGAAATAAAAAAAAGTTAAGATATCTTGCACAAAAAATTTCAAGAGATTCACACTGCATTGACCTTGATAACAGTATTTGCATGATAAAGCTAGATTATGCAATTTTGGTACTGCATTTATGAAAACAAAAGGTGTCTTTTCATATCTTATTCAGTATACACATAACCAGGTACTTATACTCCATATTCCCAAGCAATATTAACCGTACTTACAAAGAACCAAAAAGTTAAATATTTGAACTTTCCACCAAATCCATCATAGGTCAAGAGTGATGTAAAAATGTCTGTTTTATTATTAATTTTGATGAATGTTACATTGTAAAGAAGTGAAAAGAATAGAAGGATCCAAACTGTCACATGGAATAACTGTGACAAAGCAGCCATTTTAAATGAACAAACATGTAAAGGTCATTAAATCACTCACAGGTATGGACAGTAATAAGATTACAGGTCCACTGATAATCTCAGAAGATAACAATATGCGCTGAAGATGTCACTTAATATTCATGTTACAGTGCACATGGACAAAGTAGTTAGGACAAAGTAGTGGTCAGACCAGGACTTAAAACTAAGGCCAGTTAAATATAAGATGTACTTTATATCTCTTTTAACAATTCTTTAAAATTTCAGATGCATTATGCATTTGGTGCATTATATGCATTTGAAGAAGAGGGGCATTGGTCAAAGTAAGCTAAGGAGCTGAAACTGGAGTATTACCCGGTAATCGTTAATAAATGACCTAATTGGGATGCTTCACCAACCATTTAGTGGGCCAGTATTCCAAATCAGCTAAGATGTTTCTGTGCATTGTAGTACATACTAAATTCTACTAATTAATGATACAGATATCAAATCTATGGCTTCAGTCAAATCACATTGTGGAAACCCTCTATTTAGTTTGATATTTTTATTGTCTGTAAAATATATTCTAATAAACCTTTTCCCATCCAAAAATTGTAATACATGTATTCGATAAGCTATGTTAATTAACATAGGTACAGTATCTTAAAAATATAAAAGATACTATTAAAGTGCCACTGCAAATGTAACTAATTTAAAATGTTGAAGCAATAAAGATAACACATAAGATCTAACTTCACCTCTGTGCCACAGGCACCTGATGCATAGGAGCTAGGATTTCCTTAGATCACACACATTCTTGTCTATGCGATCTAAGCTAAACCTTTAGTGAAGGTGCATCAACTGTTGGTGCACTATACAGGTCAGTATCTTCAGCTGTTGCTAAATCAGATACAGGTATTGCGACGGAGAGATGTTCAATTCAACTGTTGCATTAAAACATGACTGTGAACATGTGGCAAGAGTAATATTTACACAGTCCTTAATGCTTTTTTAAATCACTATTTTAATAAACATATGGTCATAACCAGTACAAATCTTGCCAAAGAAATAACTTTTTAATGATTTTCAATTTTCATCTGCATGACTTTGTATATAGGTCCTTGAAACAGGAAATAAAAGAGTAACTAACAGGAAATAATGTAGGAAACTGACAGGGATTTGAATCCTCCATGTCATGATGTGTGAATGCTTTCCCAACTGACCCAGCTAGATCCTTTGATCAGGAACAGAGAAATACTGGAGCGGGGTCAAGTATTCCTATCTACCCTCCCCTTTAAAACAACATACGTATGGATATTTTTCACTAATAAAATAGTAAATATCCATATGCACTGTCTGATTAAAAACAAAAGTCATACACTACAAGTTTTGATGCTTCACTTAACCTGTGTCTCAGGTCTCACACTTAAATTTTAAACCTAGTCCTTAAGAAAATATGACATTTAAAAAATAAAAGCAGTCTACCTCAGATGGAATAGTTAAAAATATATTCTAATGAATAATGCACTAAACCTTTCAAAGAACTTCGCTGCAGGATAGTTGACTTTTAACAATCTGAAGCTTGTATTACTTTCTTTTAAATATTGTACAAGTGTAGTGATAAGCATGTTCTTTTATAAACATGAACAAGAAATGGGACAACACAAATATCACACTTACATTAATATTTAACATGTTTAAATTTAAACTCTAACTCATTATTTTATTAGATTTGTAAAAGCTAGGAAGCAAACAAAAAAGTGGCAGAAAGACAGGTGCTCTACCAACTGAATGAACTACACTGACAGTCATACTTCTCCCTGCTTAAATGTCTTCACCTCTGCAGACACCAACCCAGGTTCATCCCTGGCAAGTCTTTCACATGTTGCTCCTAGGGCATGGCATAACACCAAATATAACAAGCAGGGAGGCAATATCATTCACCAGATAAAGATCTGAACCTGAGTCCCCTGAACTCTGAGCAGGTGATCTAACAATAAACTATCTGGCCTCTGACGAAAAAAAACCTGTTTAACCACCACAAATATATGTCCAAAATCTGGGATATGAGCTGCATCTGTACATCCCTTTATCTTTTTCTCTGCATGTCATGTGTCAAATCCATGCTAATTATAATCTATGTTCCATGTTGGGCCCTCACCTGGTTGTTGGGGACAACATCATTTTACAAATATATTGAAAAAATATTCCATCTAACTTCAAATCCACCAATAAACCTATTCTCTTTAGAGAAGTGGACAGGCTTTTGCCTACATCCACCATGGATGTAGGTGAAAGCCTGTCCACTTCTCTAAAGAGAATACCAATATACCTATTTTCCTGCTATATGAAATGATTGAAATCATAGATTTATAAAAATATATAGATTGTAATAAAAAATAAAAATTGAAATGCAGTGCAACAATTAAGGCATTAATAATCAATCTTCTTAAATTTCTTAAGCTTTCCTGGGATTTAATATATACTTTAAATTAACGGAACACGATGACACAGTAACCCCTCTAAATATCACATGTATCTACTTACAAAATACCAAAAGGTCAGATATTTAAATTTTCCTCCATAGCCTTTGTAAGTCATCAAAGTTTCGCCTGGCCTTGTTCTTACATAAAAATGATTATAAATAAAGGAAGAAAACAGTACAACGAAAACAGCAGAATGGTAACACTTTGCTTTCCACATTGTTACAGATCGGAGTTTGTAGCCGATATGCATCAAAATGAAAGTGAAACTAGACCAGAGTTATCTGCCCATTACATATCTCCACTCTGATAAAAATCAGCTCTTATCAAATACTGCATAAGAGTATTGGTTGATATTAGGTCCTTGTACAAATAAATTGAATATTTTTAATCATAGATAAATGAGACACTGCAGAATTAATTAATATTTCTAACGGTTAGACACAGTAAAATATATTGAACATCTATTGATCAAATTCGTCAAGACAAAACATGCTTAGCTTACACTACCTACCATATTAATGAAAGTGAGATATTTGAATTTTCCACCATAAGTTTCCCATCCGATAGGAAGGAGGAAAATGTCCCATACTAGTCCATATACCTGGACAACATACACAGGTAAATAAAATGCTATCGATTTCGAAACCATGGCTTGTTTTGTCTGCTGCCTGCGGGATTCACTAATGTAAGGCAAGCGAAAGAGAATGTTATTGATAGCAAGGGAGCGTTCATCTAATTCAGGAATATATTATTTTAATTACTAAGCTAATGAAAATATGTTTTGTTCCTTTTTAAAATCTTATTTGATTATTATTATTCCCCTCATTTTTTAAAATAATAAATCATTTACTTAATTTGACGAAATTTTTGAGAACATTCCTAAAGTATTTTGTTTCCATTCAATATTATTAGATGTGCTTTCTTCTCGCTATTATTATTTTTAAATTATATATGCTATATGAAAGTTCTTTAAAGTGTCTGATAATGACCAGCATTTTACGGCTATAATTCGTAACCGTCCACTTCAACACTCTATATAGCAGGACAGTCACCAGAATTTTGGAAAGGGAGGTCGGGGTGCAGAGGATAGTAAGAGATTCTATCATCAGTCTGGTTATAAAACACTTTTTTATAGGTACCATTTTGTTGGGTTCTATGCCAAAATAAGCGGAGAAAATCTAGAGTACTGCTTTAAACAGGTGAATAATGAAGTTATTTTGTTTCAAAAATATTATTTTTCATATGGGGGTACTATTTCTACTCAACGCATCCTCCTGATGGCCTATACCTGGTATAGGTTAACATGTAGAACATTTTCACACCAAACAGAAAATTCTAAAAGATAGTTTCTAAAAAGAAAAAAAAAACATTACGAATCCCTTTCAAAAAAAGACAACCCCCTCATTAGAAAAGAAAAGTTAATTATAGATTTTCTTCTTTCAGTGGATTAATTTAGCACAATTACCTGTTGTTAATCATTTGACAGACTAGTTGTGAAAAAAAAACAAACTTTTTTTATATTTTATACAATGTACACACAGTGACACTTATGTTCGCATTCATGGCATTATTTATACATGTACCTATATATTACCAAGGTGACCATGAAAACAGTTTACGAATTACTGCATGATTTATATGTAACTATGTAAAAATGCCTCATTTGTATGTTATGAAACCGATGCATGCTTTCATACACTATAACAATCAACACTATATTTAGAAAGTTGACTTACGAAGTTCCAATTGGTCAGGTATTTGAATTTCCCCCCGTATCCTTTATAAGTGAACACAGTCTCTGTCTCATTGGTGACGATGTATTTACAATCGTAGATATAAGCCACTGAATGGGCGATAAACAGTACTGTGTGATAAACGAAGACGAAGCTCTTCTCCATTACGATCTACTTCCGTGAAAGTCCTTGTTGTGACATGCCTGTGTGGGTAGCAGAATATTGGTATATTTATACCTCGTGTGTATATATCTTGACATTTAATGAAGGTCTAGCTTAGCATTAAAAGAATGCGTGAAAGACCAAAATATTATTATTGTGGTAATAAATGAATAATTCATGCGTGACTGAATCGTCATAACTCCGTGTGCTATTTTATTCCTCTTAGATTACCTTAAATCTGCAAATAAAGCTGTTCTTTTAAAACCAAACACAGGTTTTGACTTACGGTTCTTTTATAAAAATTTAAACGGAATCCCTTATCAGCAATATGTGTAGAAGCTTTTTTGAAGTGTGTTTCTCAGCACTGAACAGACATATCGATCTCAAAAGATTCACAGGAATAAATGTCCGATAAATATTCATTCTGCAATGAATTAACAGCTGAACTTAGCAACCAACTTGTCCACGAAAGCTATTTACACGTGGCTATTCACTAACAGGAATTTATATATATTTATAAATAGAGATTGAAAGTCTTCGTGTTCGAAAAAACTGTTTTTACAGCTAGAACTACGTGTATTTTATGTGTGGCAAAATTGACCATTTTAAGAATTTTCCACCTTATAGAATGGCAAGAAGGTGGTGTCCGTGAACGTATATGTATATTGTATGAATCTGTTTTACAGATTTTTTTTTACCTGAGAAGAAACAAGAGACTCACTACGTACATCGCTCACGCGACTCACCTTGGCTCTGCAGTTCTTTATCATTTTTGGGGGGGGGGGGGAGGATGTTAAATCCCTCTATTTCCCTTATGCATAAGAAATTTTAACCTCATATTACTGCAGGAGTACGACCAAACCAAAGTTTGAATTCTACATGATTTACACACACGGATGATACGACATAAATTCATTATATTTGTAATATAGTACACTCTTATTATTCTTAGTGTATCGATTCATCATTGATTTTTTTTTTAATTAGAAAGCAATGTGTAAAACACCTGTAGATATAAACACATTGTGTATATATATACATGTATATATACTTACAATAATTGGATTACATGCTGTCTGAATTAGAGCTGTTCCATCTCGACCCGGCAAATCAGATGACCACAACAAGGAAAAAAAACTCATCCTTAGTACAACATGTACTACGATACTAGTACCGGTATATGATTAAATCTGTTTACTAATGAGATATGTAGCTTTCCGTCTGTTACAATTTCTTCATCATTTATTATTTTTATATGCACACATGTGTTGAGCAGTTTTATAGTACAAAAGAGCACCCGTTACATTGAGAGAGAAAAAAACAGTTCATTGAATAAATCAATAAAACTTTGTCAATATACAGGTGGACAAATAAAATGTACTTTTTTGCATAAAAGATTGTATGAATTTGTTGCATTATCAATACCAGTGACAGAGTTTAGTGTAAATGGCAAATTTTGATTTGATACCTAATTCTGTCTCTCCCCAACTGGTAGAACACACACAGGGCCATCACCATGCAGGTTTATGGAAGGGTCTCGGATGGATCCCCTCCTGACCAAGAATTATTCTTTAAACGGGTACCAATTTGGTATAATCTGGTGCATTCGTGAAGTTATCTTTTGACATCTTACATTAAAAAAAATTTCGCAGCATGACTTTAACAGATTAAAAATGAATTTATTTTGTTCCCAGAAGAAAATTTTTGTGTGGGTGTGTATGGAAAGGGGGGTACGATTGCATCCAATGCAGTTGTTCCGACGGCCTTGACATCCCTGTATATCTTACTCGAACACTTACGAGGAGTGAATTCAAATACTTCAGTATGTTGTTACCCACGGTCGAGATGGGTCATGATTTTATTCAAGATCGTATTTAAAAAAAAAAAGGCAACTGCTTCCTAAATAATAAAGGGATTCGTATACAATTTCGTATCTTGTGATTGGTCATCTACAAAATTAATTTGTTAAAAATCATTATGATTCTACACACTACAGTACACCCTGAAGTTGATATTAAAACATAATAGAGATGTTGGTGATCGTCATTAACAATAACTATGCATCGGTGGATCTAGAGGGGGTCCGGACCCCCCCCCCCCCGAATTTTCAAAGTTATCATATTTTTATGTAAAAGTAACGAAAAAATGACCTTGGAATAACCCCCCTCAGGAAACACAGACCCCCTTAGAACGGTTAGGAAAGCCATCGATCAAAAGAAAATTGACTAAGAATAGTGTCGTCTCCTATGCCCCCTCCCACGAAATACTTTTTTTGTTTGGTTTGTTTGTTTTTATGCTTGTATAAAATTTTCAAGTCTGACATTTATTACAGTTGATGTGGACCAGGAAAAAACCATGGATCCACCCCTGACCAATCATAAATGCATAAAATGCATCAATATTAAGAACATCTATAACATCTTCGCTAGCCAAGGGTTTCTGATACGCTACTCTCCTCATAAGAGGAGAGTAGCGTATCAGAAACCCTTGGCTAGCGAAGATGCATCTATAAGGAAGTATATGGTTTCATGTTTTTGCATTGAATTTCAATATAGATATGAGGTTATAGATTATATGGAAAAGTTGCAAGAATATGGGTGGAAATATAGAAAAAATTATGGGAGCAAGAAAGCATGCTCCAGACTAGAACTTTTGAACTAGACGTATGTTTTTTTTTTAACCTTTCTAAAAAAATGTCATGACCCACGAAACGTTGAATCAGAAGTTTTGTTGTCATTGGGTAAATCGTTATATTTTTTTTTAATTCAGGAAATGGCATATAGAACAGCAAATTATAAAATACAAGTAAAATTACACATGTTCTTAAAACTATAATATTGTATTGTAAAAAATAGATAATTATGAAAAAAAAATATATAAGTATGTCTATAAATGAACATATATATAGACACTCTGTATAGCCATCTACCCGAGGATGACCCATAAAAGCCATAAAGGCTTATTTCCAATGGGGTCCTCATTATGTGTGATATGTGAAGTCAACATGTGACGTTGACCTCTGAATCCTATTTTTCGTCTACAGGAAAATATTATTTTTGAAGGGAGGCAGACTTGATTTTGATTTTTTTTTCAGCGCACTAAAACAACATGCCTACTAAGGCCTAAAGTACCCGAACACTCATGCAACAGGGGCGGATCATGCAATTTTTGAAGGGGTACCAGGTTGGTGGCCCCTCCATCCCCTTTTAACACACACTCTCAAACATAGATTCACACACATTGGGAGAGAAAAATCATCTTAGGCCGTGGTAAATAATATCTTTGATTTACGTCCCTTAATCCTTTGAAAAGGTACCCTCCAGTCCGAATAAAAAGAACGAACACAATCCTAAAACAACTGTAACCTTAAAATTAATGAATTTGCAATATTTAAAAAAAATCCCGAAAAAAATTGTTGAGAATTTGACAAACTTCTGTTTGTTTATTTTAACTGTATTTTCCTGAAAACCTCACGCCTTATGAATCCCTTTAATGACTTGTTGAAAAGATATATACGTATCCAAAGATAGTCAGAATCTGATATCAAATTGAACCTCGCATGTTACTTAAGATATATATAAAAAGAAGTAGAATACTCATAAATGAAAACGCCGAAAAGGAGGGATATTGAAGGGAAATGGAGGAAAGGAAATACGTGAGGTTCTATCAAGTGAAATATGAGCAGAGATTGTGGCTTATCGAGCTGTTTTGAACTACGTTTATATTCAAAACGTACGAGACGTAAAAAAAAACATCTATTCCAGAAAACATGTTTTACCCCCTCTCCTTTTCTCCACTTTGCAAAAATAAAGGGAGGAGGTTCCAACCCCCCCCCCCCCCTTTGATCCGCCAATGAAGGCTAAATAATTGTGAAAGTAAGCATCACAAATACCATAACAGAGCTGAAAAAGATTAAATTTAGGAACCAAATGATTAAATAACAATAGTGTTTGTAGCTTGTTTATTTAAAGGTTTATAAAATACAACTCGTAAATATAAAAGATGACTATGGAATGTTTCAATTAAAATACATTATGAACCAAATAATGACATGGACAGAAAAATATGTACATTAATGATCATAATTATACTTTGCCTTAAAATATAGTGTGTGAATAGTTGTTTAAATATCACAACACCAGTTAATGTGTAAAACTAGGGATTTTACAGAAGCTGAAATTCCTACTATAAGTAGATTTCACAGTTTAATTTTTCTATATTGAAAGAACCATGTATACTGCATGTATAGTAGAATTTATTTATAAGAATTCAAAGTTCTAAAGCAGCTGTGTCTTCTACACAAGTACTTTTGATTTATATGGCACAATTATTGTTCTTTTTTTCATCAGATTACATTTATTTTTCCAAGCATTCTTGATAGATATGATCCCTTGACTAGCATAGTATTTATTTCTGAATCAAATCAAAGTTGAATCAATAAAAGCATGTCATCTTGCCAGTATAATAATATATATACAACTCAGATATTCAATGAAAATCATACAATTTCCACGGATGAGAAAGTGCTGTACACTAGAGATTACATTTTCTGAAAGTAATAAACCATAATCTGGAATGCAACTATGTCCGGATGATATATACAGAAATTACAAATCTAGCTCTGTAGCAGTATACCCTGTACGTGGCGCATACTGCACAGCTGGGGCATACTGGGGCATTGGCGCTGACTGAACTACAGCAGGATACTCCATGGGTGACGTACGAACAAATCCAGGATTAAAGTATGAGCCTTTGGTTGGAATGGGGCTAGAGCCCAGATCGGGTTTCTCTCGCAACATGTTATATCTGACCCGTTTCAGGTGACAATAGGTACAGCAAGCCTGCATCCATAACATAACAGCTGCAACCAAGCTCAAGAGGGCAGCAGCTCCTCCAATGAAATAGCCAAAGTTTAGACTCATATCTGGGTGGGCATTGAGGATGGTATAGTAGTTATAACGTAGAGGAATGTAGTCTTCTGCAGGAAAGTTTTGCCAGGCTTGGTGACTGAAGAAGGCCATATGAAGGGGGATGAGGATACAACCAATTACTTGACTCAAGGCTGAAAATAATTGAGACTTAAATAAGTAAATGAAGGCAACTACAAGAAGAAAAGTTTTTTCTTTCTATTAACTTATTACTTTTTCTTTCTTCTTTTTTTTTTTTATTTGCAAAGTTCAAAGTTAAGCTTTAATTAAGTTTTCCACAGGAGGAATTCTTAATTAACTATTCTTTAAATCTGAAAAATTCTACAGGCAAATTACAACACTAACAAAATCCAGTTGCTCCTGCAGCCAGAAACATTTCTCCTGTTGGGGAGGCATACTGCTTAAACGCCAGGATGAATGAAGACCCACAGCAAAGCACGACCCCTATACTACCAAGGAGGTACAGCAGCTGGGAGACGCGTAGGAGGGCTGAATAAAGGCAAGTGTAATCATAATTACAAGAACAAAAGTGACATAGGGTCAAAGACTAAAGATTCAGTATAAAATTTGAAGAATTTTGTCTTCATTCAAGATGTAGTCTTAATTTTTATTGCATTTCAGTATTTATCACCTATTCAAAGTGGCGACAACACTTATTCAATATGGATCTATGACATATCAACATTTAAAAATACTCTTCACCTGTTCACCGAAAAAGTCTACAAAAAAATCCCAAACAAATCCAACCCATTTCTTTTTAAGATAATTCTGTCCCTGGTAAGATGTTCATTATTGTACCCATAAAATATAAACATACCGGGCATGAAATGAGTATTATCTGCTTTGTCCAGCATCAGTGTGTTGATGAACCTATTTTCGTCCAGGAAATACAGACCACAGTTGATTGTCTTGTCCACAGAACTCTGTTGCGCCTCGGGTCTACTGTCCTCGACAAACACAAGGTGCATCTTTAGACTGAACCAAAACGGCAGAAGACACGCAGTTATCGTGGCCATGGTTGCTATCAACAAGAGTAGGGATGCAAGCCCTAATAGCTTGCTTTTTAAGAAGTTCGAAATAGGGTCCGTCATTTTGGGAATCGGTACTACTTCCGTACTTGGGAAGGTACCGGGTCTACCTTTGCCTTCAATGATTGCCGTTTAAAAACAATTCTCAGAAAATTAACTTATATTGAAATATCGAAAAACAGGCGTTGAAAAAGTAAACCTGCTCGCTAAATCTCCATTTATGTCATGTTTTTGTCAACATACCAGAATTGTTACACCTTACGCCATGTTTTGAAACGCACCTGTAATAAGCGCCACCTGGTGTCGTGAGTCACAGTTTTATTACAGGGAACTAACTCTGGCTCTTGTGAAAAAAAAAATATAGGTGTCTTTTCTTCCATTCAATCTGATTTTAATCAGATTGTTTCTCTATTATTATTCTACCTATATTATTTCAACATCAATATTTACTTCAACAAAATCAAGATATGAGTAGAATTGTATGAAAAAAGTATAATATTTCCTAATTTGTTATATATTTCATTGAAAAATGTTTCTTCACAGAATTTCAAGACATTTTTATCTGTTGAGGTGATGGCATACATTAGTTCTAAGTGAGGTGAAATTTTATGGCACAAATTTGAAAAGAAATTAAGAACTTTGAGGTTAAAAACTTTGAGCTGATGATTTCATAAATCATTCTTAATTTTCAGTATATCATTTTTACAAAGCATTTAATTTAGAAAAAAGAAAATTTTAAAAATTCTGGGTGATTTAGTGAACAAGGTTATGGAAAATGGGCCAAAATTTATCCCACAAAAAGTTCTTTTTTCATATAAAAATAGTGTTTTGAAATGAAACTTATAGTGATAAAATGAAATTATTACTCACTTTATGGCCACATATATAGTATATACTGTTCATTTAAAAATACATATTGATTTCTTACCTAAAGAGGTATGGTCTATAATTTTACGTTCACTCCGATGATGTCCCTGAAATAATTTTATATATAAGTGTAATTTTCTTCTAAGCAAAAGATGCCGATTCTGAAAATTGCAGAATTTAATTTAAAACCCCACTGACAGAAATGGAATTAAATTAAAACGCAGTTTGGTGGCCTCGAAAGAAGATGGGCGAACAAAGCGAGCAAAATGTCTATTGTGTGACGAGCAAGAAAGTGAAAAATTAAATCTGACAAAATTTTCTTTGATGTTTCATTTAACATTAATTTAACATTAACGCATACTTTAAGTAAAATCCCCACAATCTGCAACTTGCAGCCTCGCAAAGATTGAAAATATCAGTCTATAAAATACCATAAACACACCAAAAGGGCAAAAATTGAACATTTTTTCTTACTATATCACAATTTTTCCATATGAGTGGGTCTTCACTCCATTTTTTTGAAAGATTATACTCAAAGTATGCTTAAAACTTCATATTTCGGTTAACAGGAAAAAAGAGCAAAAACCCACTATATCTAAAAAAAAAAAAAAAAAAAAAAAAAAAATATTACTTTTATGACAGAACATTCACATCTTTCCGAAAAATATTTGAAGTCCATTTACATTTAATGGTCATTTCATAAACATGATTTAAATGCCGCTTTTTGTCACGAGATGTTTATCGTAGTGGTTATCGTTTTAGTTTCTAAGATTTAAAAAAAAAAAAAAAAAAAAAAAAAAAAAAGGGGCTCAGGATTTTTATTCCTTAGTTCGAACCACAAGAATACCACTTTTTTTTAAAATCATAGAATGATTTTTGCTGAAAGAATTTTCCACAGAAAAGTTTTGTTTGTCGTAATTTCATACCTTTCTATACTATGCACTTTACTCTATAAATACTAAATTCACGAATTAAAAATGACATACATTTGAAACTATAGGCATTTTGCACTCCTTGTTCGCCCATCCTCTTTCTTGTCATATGCAGAAATAAAAAAAAAATATCCTGCATGAGGACAAGAACCCACATCGTTAATACATTTAGCTGTTTTGGAATATCACATACGACAGCAAAACTGCTTAACGTCCCTGCCAAGTGCTCAATTCCACTGCTTATAGATGGTATTACCAATTGTCTCACTCTTAACACGCATTTTCGATTACAATACTGGGAAGAAAACAAAATATTTCCTGACAACCCTAGCCCTAGCCGATAAGAAATATATACCAGAAACACGAAGGAAAAAATCACATATTCCTTTGCCATGAGTAAAATGATTTCTGAGACCCTTTAGAGTTTTATTTCCAAACTCTCTGTAGACATTACAAAGTATTTCACTCTATGTAAAAATAATTGTTCCTATATAGGGAAGGAAGCAATTTCAGTGCTGGAAGGCGGGAGGGGGGGATCTACGCGTAATAAAAAAGGTCATTATTGAGGACTGAGGAGTACAACTGTATAGTATGTTGGGTATTTATCGGTAGATCTCGCCCCCATGTCTCTACACGCCTGGTATTAGCCATTAAATTGATTTAAAAATGAAACACATATAAAAATTCACAAATACATGTACTTCTCATTTTTCATAGTGTAGAAAAAATCACTAAAAGAATTAGATATTACTAGATATTTTACCCTAGGCAAAAGTTACTATTATTTTTCAGTAGTATTTCTAGTATGAAATATAAAGTTAATAAACAGTATAATCAAGCTCAAAAGTCAATTGAAAAATACACATTTGGAGCTGAGCAAACACGGACTTCTAAAAACATCAGAGGTGCATGGGATCAGGTGACATGGAGGAGTTTAGCATCCTTTGTCGACCGGTCACACCCGCCGTGTGCTCCTTGTCATGGCAAGCTGAAAAAAATCTGCATAGGTAATTCAGTGTGAAAATAATGGCCTAACAATTTGTATGAAAAACGTCACTCAACATCTGACTTAATGACAGATTGTATTTGCTGACAAGGTCATTGTATCGACTATAGAATTTGTGAAATGTTGACTTTAAACGAGACTGTTGATATTCTTGTTTCATCTACTTATTTGTCAATAGCTTGCCTCGTTTAAGAAATTGCAATTGTTTGTAGTATAATACATATACATGTATACCAACAAATGTTTCCCAAGATCCTACTTAAAGTTTGTTCTTTTGTCGTATGTGACACCCCTACCTCCACTCCGCTTAAGAATTGTCTTACCTTCATATATACTGTAGAAGCACAAATTTTGGTGGGGATAAAATTTCGTTAATTTGTCATCAATAAATGTTTCGTTTGCATTCAATTCGTTAGTATAGTAGATAATCTCCTTCCCTTTTTTTCGTACGTTATATATGTCTTTAACACCCCACCTCCACCCCCGGTCAAAATTTGCCTGCAAAGAAATGTGGGAATTAGATGTTTTTAACAGAAATACTCCTTCCTTGTCTTCGTCGTTTAAAATTTTCTGAATCCGCTAATTTTTGTTATTAGTGTAATATTCTTGCTATCATAGGGTTTATTCAAGCATGCGTGATAAAAATCCTTTAAAGATATCAAAGATAACAAAATAGGCAATATCATCTATAAGCAGTGGAAGTTGGCAGTAAGCAGTCGGCTGTCGTATATGGGTTTAATCTAATTCCATATGTTATGTTTTTGTTTTTTGTTGTAATTTTCGCAGATTGAACACAACACAGTCTTTCGATAATACATCTTTATATACCGCTGGTGTATTTGCACGTGTCTCCACATACTAAAATCAGTATAAAGTTTCTTTAAAAGTTATTTTTTATGAACCTAAACAATATACCAGTGTTTTACTTACTTCACATTGTTAACAATAGGCTCAATGGCCACAACGCTCACCTGAATGACCCTGGCGCTGATGTTCTTCCTCAGAAGATTTTTAGCAGGTTTTATTTCCTCTTCCTTCACATGTAAAATTTTGACCCCATATTGTGACCCATCCCACGGGGCACGACATTAACTTGAATCAACACATATGGACTTGCTGTTATAGAGAAGAAGTTATGCATTATATAAAATGCGATCCCCGATTTTAGCCCAAACCTTACCCTAGGGTCTACAGTGTGGTACGATTGTCCCCTTTACAAGTAGTCCAAGGATATGAAAATAACAAAGGGTGGATATGAGACAAAAAATAAAATATTATACCACTGCTTTTCTTTTCTTGAATCAGTTGAAGATAAAATAACTTTCTTTAGCTGTGTGAAATGGTGAACAATTTGGTGAACAAGTTAATACATGTGATAAGATGACAAATCAAATTGTATTGTGATGGCGAGTTTCTTCGTCTTCGCCGCGTCTTCTTCGATATCGTCGCTGCTATTTTTACAATGTTAACAGATTTTTCAGATTTTTTCTTACTGACAATTCTAAAATATAAGGTTGGATATTCAATTTCATATCGATAAAATCACTGATGTGGTCGTCCACAATGCAGAATATTCATGTTGTATCGCGTATATTTAGTAAGATTAACTATAGAGCTGATCAGCCATTGTCGCCTTTGACGTCACAGGGTCACGTGATCGCTATCTAATTAACTTAAATTTTTTCATTCAGGGCTTTCATTTGAGTCAATAATTGGTTAATTACCGCGGTTTATCTGCAGCAAAAACACAAAATTTATAAACTGTGATCATAAGGAACGTTTTACGCTTTTAATTTCAAATAATTTAGAAACATGCGAGAAGTCCTTTAATACGTCTTCAATATTAAAAAAAAAATACCAAACATCAGTATTTATAACTTAAAAAGGGGGTCGGTCAGAAAAAAAGTACTCATGAAATTATAAGAAATTTTCAAAGTCTATAATGGACAATAACTACGGTGAAAATGGGTCAATTGACATGAAACTCTTTCTTGATCAGTAAGTCATCAAATTAATTCCTCCTGTATGTAAATAAGAATTAGCCCAGCTGATGCATTAGAAATAAAAACATTTAAGAGAGGCTTTGGTGAAATGAATCCGTGGTTTTATTTAGTAGTCATCAATATAAAGAAACATACCAAAAAATCAGCTCACTATCTAAAGGCTAGGCCCCCCAAAAAAGTCGGAAAACAAACTTCTATATGACGGAATAATAATGACGGGGCTGAAAGGGTAGCACTATATGCCCCGGCTATTTTATACCGGGGACATGAAAAAAAATAAGATTTTGATCCCTTACTGTGGCCCACCCTACTCCCGGTGATCAGGATTTGAACACCAATTTGAATCTACACTATATCAGCAGCGTATACATAAGTTTCATCTTTTCTGGTGAAGTGGTTCTTCAGAAGAGGATTTTAAAAGATTTTCCCCCTATATTCCCATGTAAAACTTTATCCCAACCTACCCCGGGGGCCATGATTCAAATAATTTAGAGAATCTACACTATATTAGCAAGCTTACATATAAGTTTCAACTTTTCTGGAAAGTTCCTGAAAAAAACCCACCCCACAGATGGACATCTAAGGTGAGTTTAAAATATGAAAAATTACAGATATATGTCAAATATTGCAAATATTCGAACTTTTCCATTTGTATTATATAATTTTCCATTTGTATTGCATAATTTTTCATTTGTATTGTGTAATTTCCCATTTATATTCTATAATTTTGCTTTCGTATTCTTTAATTTTATAATTTTCCATTGACATTGTATATTTTTCCAGATAGAAAAAATACAAAATTAAATGACAAATTATAGAATGCAAATTGACAATTATACAATACAAATGAAAAAATAACAAAATATACAATTGGAATATCATACAATATAAATGGAAAATAATACAATAGAAATGGAAAATTATATAATAGAATGGAAAAATTAGTCAATTCAAATGGAAAATGAACGAATACAAATGGAAATTGTACAATACAAATAAAAATCATACAATAGAAATGAAAAAATATACATTGAATACAAATAGAAAATTATACAATACAAATGGAAAATTATAGAATATTGATAAAAATTATACAATACAAATGAAAAATTATACAATGCAAATGGAAAATAATAAAATACAAATGGAAAAAAATCGAACACTGCTACGTTTGACGTACCATACATAATTATGCTAAAATGCACGTCAAGTTAGTATTTTGCAAATTGGTTGATTTCTGTCCTGCTCAATTATACAGACTTGAAGGAAAAATCTAGACATCAGAAGTAAATCCAATACTTTCTTTCCGAGTCCCAGGCATTTGATTGGTGACCCCGATGAGACAATCTTGATCTAGAACCGCGAGATGACTGAAAAAAGAAGGGTATGGTCTCGATCTTGACCTTCAGATGGATGTGAAGATAGCAAAAGCTGAAAAAATAGCTACAAAAATAATTATGGAAAGTACAAGTACCTATATATCGGCAGCTAGTACGCATAAATAACAAGACGTTAGAACCACTGGCGAATTTAGAGGGGGGCATGGGGCCCGCTCCCCCTCCCCCTTCTTTCGAGACCAAAACATACATAAGATTAATAAATCATTTTTTGTTGCTGTGGGATATTGCATTAATTATACGAAAAGTATAGCTTAATTAAATAAGTAAAAAAAAAAAAACCAGTTTCATAAAATCACTAAAACTCACGAGCTTCCTGGGGCTTCGTCCCTTCCCCTCCCCCCTTTTTTGAAGAATTCTGGATCCACCACTGAGATCAGTGGCACTTTGCAATTGGTTTGCAAGCATTTCTGCTATTTTCCATTTGATTTTTGATGCATATACCTTGGACACCGACTTCAAAATCTTTTCCACACAGGAAAGATGTAAGCGAGTTTCGACTCTTGACCAAACAGTTCATTGTCGATGACCTTCACGACATCAAGTGCTACTTCCCTTCTTTCTTGTCAGAACTCCCCCTGTTCCCAGTATGGTTGAATCCTATTGTCATACAATTTGACTAAAATTACGCTTTATACTAATAATGCTCGTGTAGGTTTACTGATAAAGTACCTTAGTGGTGAATAATATGTTTCATTCTTCATTGTTTGCAATTTTCAAATTTAAATCGCATGCACAATTAAAAACTAGCATGTCCTTTTAAAACTTGTATATAATTGTCTAATTATTCATCTAGATATGAAACATCTATGGAAAGCCTGAAGATATTTGATACCTTAAATGGAGTTTAAAAATCGGGTTTACCACTTGAACATGTAGAATCTTACGTGGAAACACGTAATGTTGACTTAGGTATTTTTAGAAGACAGGACAAGGCAGTTCCTGTCATGGGGACCAAGGAATTACTTCTATCTGCTGGTAAATAATTCATTATATCAACTTATAATAAATTAAATATCGACAATTCTTAGAAACTTAAGATAATTATATCATGATATGCCAACAGATTTAAGCAATTTATTGTCTTAATATTTAGTATGTTTGTACTGTAAAATTTTAAAATATACAAGTATTTCAAAATGTTTTTTCACAGATATTTCTGAGCAACAAAAATTAAGGTATTTTTATGACAGACACAAAACCAGAGATTAATTATATAGCATACACTGTATATAACGTAATATATCAATGGAAATCTTTTTAGTGAAATAATTAGTGATATAAGACTTATCACATTACCTACATTTTTTATTGCCTACATTATTTATACTTTATTACCATTCAGTATTTACATTCACTCTTTACATTTTACGTATGATTGATCGAAATTTTACATTCTTTTATATGAAATTACTATTTCCAACTTTGATTAATTTTAAGCCCCTCCCCCTCCACCAAACACCCTGTTTAATCAAAAAATAATGTTCCCAGTAGTTAAAGGCAGAGGTTTCCAGAATACCAGTATTACGACGGTTTAACATGATGTTTGTGATTCCAGCAGACCGGTCATTATCTGAACAATTACGATAGTTAAACTGTATCATATGATGTAAAATTTGAGGATATAATGTACAGTAATATCGGTTATTAAGAACTCGCTTTTTAAGAAATCATTGTTATAATAAAACTTTCACGAATGAGACTTTGCACTATGATAAAGAATATTGGTTATACATTGGTTATACTGTAGGCCGTGTAGGGTGCGAAATTCTGTTTACTGTTACTTCCTTATAACCGAGTTTTACTGTAGTTTTCTGAAAAGGGGGGGGGGTTAGTAGTAAAATTGTGGCAGAGGAGGGGTGGGCTAGGAATAACTTAAACATCCACCAATAAACTGAATTTCTTTTTTTCTGATATTTTCTTGCATTGTTACTTAAATATAAAGAGAGTCATGGTCATGGAAATTTATTTCAAGGAAGTATTTACAGAATCATTGACAAATGACTGAAAGTTTAGGAAAAATGATACAAGCACAGTGAACTCATTACACAAACTTTTTATAAAATTTCACACAGGTGTTCCAAATGATTTTGGAGAAACTCTTAGAAGCAAGAATGGAATGTATAAAGCAACAACATACGAACCGTCCAATAAAAATAAACCGTATCAGCCCAAGAAATGTTCCACTCCCAAACCTTACGAAGGACACACATACAAACATACCATCAAACCAGTACGTGAAAGCAGAGTATACGAGCCCCATACTTATGATCACGTGTACGTCATGTCGAAGATATATCACGAAAAACCAAAGAAAGAGAACACAAAGAAAGCCACGACACCACCCCCTCAGAAACCAAAAACACCTCCAGTAAGCTTCATTTATTTATAATTCAATTGCAAGTACATATTATTGCTTCTCCTTTTCTTCCTTTTCTCTTTGTATATGTGTATCTTCCCTACATTGGAATCACGAAAAAGAACAAGTTAAAGTAAGGGCAGAAAATTTGAAAGCCCAGACCCACCTTGAATAGAATTCAATACAGAATCAAAGTAATGTGAAAAAATGAACATGATTCATCAGTCATGGAAAAAAAATAAACATGATTTATCAAGTTCATATATATAAATTGAAAAATAAAAAAAAAATCATTCATCCATTCATTTTAGTCTCGCCAACCCTCTCCTCCCCTGCCATACAGTGCAGTGGAAACCATCAGGAGGTCCAACCTGTTGGCGCAAGTAAGCACAGCATCACCGGAACATAGCTACTCTGTGTTCAGCTGACAAGAGACCTGCTTCCGGTCATGGTATACGTCGACAAAGAACGCTTTGTGTGCAGTATTTTGAGCATATGCAAGCATGATATTCCGTATATACAACCAGTGTGCAATACTACATGTACACCTGCACTGGGTCAAGAATTGATGACATTCATGCAAGTATGCATAATTAAAGTCAATTTCAAAACTTGCATATATCATCTGGAGTGCTTGAATCTTTATTTACACTGTATATGAATATTTATTAAAAAATAATTTATGACTTCATCAGTTCTTTTGTTTATATATTCCAATATGTGTAAAAATTCTCTTCTTGAATGCTAAAAAGATCCAATATGTAATCATACCAGTCCAATATTTAACAACACCAGTCCAGTACTTTACTCTTACAGTCCAATTTTAACAAAGAATTGGACTGTAACCCGAGATGAATGGCAGAAGACCAAATCAATCTGGGAAGAAATTAGATACATGTAAAACGATGGAAAAAATAACGGATCATAACGTAATTTATAATTTGGTTTATACTTCAACCATAGACCTAAAGCATATGCTTCAACTAAGATCCAACAAAGACCTAATGCTTTAGGTATAAATGAAATGATCTGTAAGTGTTCCAAAGCTGGATTTATATGGAATTATGACCACGTAGGTCACTATCGCACCATTGAGGTTGGGGGCGATAACGCAATGACAATGATGAGATGATGCAATAATGCGATAACGATGGTGCGATAGCACGATAGCGCGACGATGCTGCGATGGCAAGATGGCGATGGCACAATGACGATGAAGTGATGTTTGCTATCGCTCCATCGTGCTATTGAATCATCGTCATGGTGCCATATGGCATCATTGTCATCGCGCTATTGCACCAGGGCGTCATCGTCGACGAAATTATTGTTAGAGTACTCTGGATTTGGACTGTCCCTTATAATAATTTTGGGACACCCCCACCCCAAATATAAAGAATTCAAAGCAAAATTCAGTGAAATTTTAGATCGTTCAAATATTTATTAATTACAGATGCGAGAAGAGGGATACATGTAACATTAGGGAAAATGATTTAAGTAAGATATAAATTTCAAATTGTTCTCTCTTAAAAAATGTATATTACTATTTCGTAGAATCAAACGATTTTGGCCTTTTTTCCTTTACAAACCATACGCATAGGTTGATTGAGTTTTAACCTATATCTGAACTAGTATATGAATATATGTGACACTATCGGACATATTCATAAAAAATTAAGACCCAGTATGTCTGTTTTGTGTTTCATAGGTGGAGTAATGTATACATGTATATAATATCTTAAGAATTTCGAGGGGGGGGGGTCTGTTCAAAACAATGCTCAATGGCTGTTTGTTTGATGACGATGATACGATCATTAAGAGCAGCTTCGTGATTGTTTTAATTGTGAATTTAAAAAAATCACAAAAGAAATCAGTCATCCCCAACAAAACTGTTAAATTCGTCCCAGGATCTTTGTCATGCAGTGTAAAAGCTGGTTTAGACTGCTCGATAAACGAGTCAGGGTATGGCCGATTCGCCAAAACAAGGGGCAGTATATCTTGGGATTGCCAGAGGTAAGTAAAAATAGTAACTTCATTTTTATTTGTTATTTATGAAATAAACAAATTTTAACGTTCTAAGGTTCGACCACATGAAAGGATAAAATATTCTATTGCTTACGTACAACTTAACTGGATATGCGTTAATTACCTCAAAATAATTAGCAACATGTTTTCTAGGCAATTTGAATCATGATTCACGCTCCGACTTGTTGGACTCTAGAACTGGTATGTACAAAACTAAAGAATACAAACCAAAGACATATTTACCAAAAATACGGGAGTATATCCCAAAGCAAAGAGAGTTCAAAATGCGGGAGTATGTGCCAAAAACAGACATAAAGTTTCACAAGTACGACAAGATCCGGGAATATGATCACTTCTACGATGTGGAACCACCGGAAGACGAAACGATCAGGCACCCCGGGGTAGGTAGTTATGACATGTTTGCTCACGCGCGGAGCATCTTCTATTTTGAATTGTATAGGTTTTTTTTTCATTTTGAAGAAACTTGATGGTGATATATTTATAGAACTCTTTTCATTTCACTATAGTAAGAAATGTATATTCAGATCAATAAAAGATTATGTCTTTAATTTCAATCTTATATTGAAGACCTTCAATTTATAGTTAATTTATAGTTTGTTTGCAATTGTGGTTGACTTGTTTATATTTTCTTTCAATGACTATATTTGGGGGGTAGGGGGGTGCATGTATCAAATAAATTACTCTGTGTATAGGATTAAGACTATCTTTGACTTCAGAACCTATAGGTAAACTCTTTGCACTGATCAGACCACTCATACACCACAGGCATCAAAATAAAGCTTGCTCTTTAAGATATACCTTCATACTTGTCACCCCTCTCCCGCTAAACGGAAACTGGCTCCACCCACAATGTCACTGATTCGTATGACACTCAGGGCTCCTCGCGTGGCTCGTAACTGTATGGAGCGTGGCGGAGTCAGTCGAAGAAAAGCCGATTGAAGCAGGGTGTTAGATATGTAGCTCCGTCCACAAGTGGCGGTACCGTTGGATCTTGTACCAAAATAAATCCTTTAAAGGGGAATAAGGGTACAATAGATACTCAAGTGAATTTAAGGGATTTAACAAATATAATAAATGATTCATTTTAAATAGGGAAAAAACAGTTAAGTGTCATGTGGAATAATTGTTCAATAACTCAAAATGAATTGCAATATTTGTGTTAACTCTTGCTTTACGTTTTTTTTTTCATGTATACCCTGGGACATGTTTAATATTTACAAAAAAGTACTCTAAAATGAGAAGCATCGTTTATATAATACCAAAGGACAATCTATATCACCTTTGTCAGTTTTCTTCTCATGAGCACTCCTATTGCATTACCATAACAAAAGACATTTTAGCTCACTTGATCTGAAAATACATGTATGCCATGTTTGTCTGTCCGTTGTTTTTATATTTTCCTTTTCAAAAACCACCAGACAACTTTCAAATATATTTGTTGGAAGTCAGCTCTGGTTAAAAAAGGAACATCTTGGCAAAGCTTAATCATATAAAGTCAAGATCCCCCCCCCCCCTTTTCCGAGTCATGGCCGGCCCACAATACAAGTTAAAAACTTTTTAAAGTTTTACATAAAATTACGTGTATACTGGGGAAAAACTTTCTTAGAAATTGATCGTAATAAAATTGGTAATGTATGGAGTTTGTTTAAAATCATGCAGAGCGGGCTAGGGTTGAACCAATAGAAATAGTAAAAGTTAAAAAAAAAAAAAAGGAGAGAGAGAGAGAATCTTTAAAAATAGTTCCGAGCACATTAAGGGTACAGTTTGTAAATATTAATGTTTAAGAAACCTTTTGGAGTGATTGGAGTGAAATTTAATTTCTTTTAATCATGAAAAGGGTAGGTATAAAGTAAGGAATTCACATGCATTTCATAAAAATCTAGGAAAACTGTAAAGAAACACTTTTTAAAAAAACCCAGCAAGACCAGAATGATATGAAAGCAATAATATGACACGTGGGCTATATTTGTTTATATCATAATCCCAATGCCTATCTTGAGTAACGAAAAGATTCATAGTTTGACACCGGAATAAGAAGCATATTCTAAGACACTGTAATATCGAAATACAAGAGGCACAAGGGCCACATTACACACCCAAGTCACCCGAGCCCTGCTGTTCTTTGTCATATATTCAAAAGATTATTTTCCGTATTTGTTTAAATAAAAAAAAATTGACCCCTTATTGTGACACCACCCTGGACTAAAGGGGTCATGACATTCCAAACTCATGGGGATACTTCAAAATCATTATTAATATCATGACCTTGCTGTTATAGAAAAAACAAGATATGTTTGTGAAACACTGATCCCCCCGTATGGCAACTTATAGCGAATGTTAAACTTTCTCTAATGCAAATCAAATATGTTGGTACCCAAAGTAAGGTCTTGTTTTGAGAAATATACCTGTGAAATACGAAAGCCCTAGCAGCAACCATTGAAAAGATATGGAAAAGGTTAAAGTTTTTCAAAAGTAAGTCAAACATCAAGGTCAAGGTCAAATGATCAAAATAAATGGTGCCCAAGGAAAGGCCTTCTCACAAGAAATACACATGTGAAATATGAAAAACCTGGCACCAACCATTCAAAAGATATGGCCAAGGTTAACGTTTTCCAAAAGTAGGTCAAACTCCAAGGTCGAAGGGTCAATGTCGTTGGCATCCAAAGAAAGATCTTCTCACAAGGATTACACATATGAAGTATGAAAGCCCTAGCACCAACTGTTCAAAAGTTATGGCCAAGGTTAAAGTTGGGTAAAATTTTGTAAAACTGGGTCAAACTCCGAGGTCAAGGTCAAATATGATGGTACCCATAGAAAGGTTTTGTCACAAGGAATACATATGTGAAATATGAAAGCCATAGCTCGTACCAATCAAAATTTATGAGCAATGTTAAGGTTTTTGCGGACAAACAGACAGATAGACAAACGGACGGACAGGGCAAAAACTATATACCCCCGAATCTTCGATACGGGGGCATAAAAAATATTCTAAAATGCATTCCTAAAATGTGACCTTAAGCCCAATCCTATCCCCAGGGTTCCTAATTTGGATGAAAAAAATTAAATTCATACAAGTTGGGAATGCATGATCCCAAATTTATTACTAGTAATTAAACTAGAAGATTTTAAAGATTTTTTTCCTATGTTCATGTATTTCCACGTAGAACTTTGATCCCTTATCGTGGTCCCACGCTACCCCCCGTGATTTGAACAATTTAGAATCTGTTATGCCAGGAAGTGTATACATAAGTTTCAATTTCTTCAGCCTCATTAGTTCCTCTGAAAAAGATTTTTAATTTTCCTTAATATATATTCCAATGTAAAACTTTGGTCCCATATTGTGGCCCCACCTAAACTAGTACGGGGTCATGATTTGACCATTTCTGATTCAAAACAATATCAAGAAGCTTATAGATAAGTTTCATCTTTTCTCAGTATTTCTTGAAAAGGATATTTTTTATGAACACCCTATTTTTGCCTTTTCTTGATTCTCCCCTTCAAGGAGGTCTTAAATTCCTTCCTCTAGGATGTTTTGTGCTAAGTTTGGTTGAAATTGGCTCAGTGGTTCTTAAGAAAAAAATCGAAATTGCGTAATTTTTTTTTTAAATTCAAATTACATGTACTAGTATTTTGTCATAGCAGTGCAACTCCGGTGAGTTATGTGACAAATTCTTGCTTTTATCACTGAATTCATTTAGCTAATCGAGTTTATACGTCGAAATTATTGAGCGTTTACTTATTCCAGAAATTGTGATGAAGAAATTTCACTTCAAAATCAAGAACTTTTGAAACCTTTTAGAAATCAACACTAAATATTTTTCCTACATTTTTTCTATTTAACCTTTGCTAGTATGAGGGTATGAAAATAAACCAAAATGTTTTAAATTAAAACTATATTTTCATAAAGGTATTTGTGTAGTAATGACTGATAAGTTAATAATCTTAATACAATTATAAAAAAAAGTTTTTGTTGGACAATTGCAAAATAAAAAAAAACATAAACTAAAATTCTTGTTTCTTGCTTTCCAGAAGGAACCTCCATTCTGTAGATCGTACAGAGCGCTTGGTTCCATTAAGAGGACGATTACCATTATGACACCTCAATAGGAAAGCCCTCTGTCGACGGTTACGTTTTCCCTTCACTGAAGTCTCAACTATTTTCGAAGTGCACAGAGAAAAAGTTTGCAGGTTTCGGAGGGAAAAAAAATAAGACCTGGATTAGAATTTCAAAAAATGTGAAGGATATTTCGGGGTTGAAGATCAAGAATATGAGTGAAACAACACCAAACTCTTACTGGAATGTTTTTTAATCAAGAAATATACATAATTGGCAAGAAAATAGCCGATTGTCTGGGTAATCAGAGGCACTTTAAACAATCTATCATTCAAGAAAAAAACTAACATCAGTGCATGGATAAATCTGATTGGTCCAACGATTCCTACTCTTTACATTTGCCTTGTTTTATTATTTACTGGCAAGAAAAGCAATTTTCGTCAACAATTTTATAACCATTTCCTAGGAATGTTTTTTTTTTCTTACATAAAATATACATTTTATCAACAAGACATTTAATGTGCAATCCAACACTAAAATGAAAACACTGGATTCTCTGGCAAGATTCACCTCGTCTACTCACAGCTACATGATATATATATATATATATATATACAATGTAAATTATTTACACAGTGTATAAAATTACCCTACAGGTGAGACATGTTAAATAAACTCAAAATCTTTTAATACTTTTTAAATTACATGTAAGATTAAGTAAAATTCAATCTTAAAATTCAAAAAAGACGTGCAACATCTCTATGTAATACAATAGATGCCTTCTTTGAAAACGAGTTTATTGTTTTTTTTCCATTTCCGTATTAAGAATTAACTTATTTTATCCTGATCAAAATTAATAAAATCTTTTTTTCATAGAAATGACATACATGAAATTTATACGAATAGAAAAATCCTAAACTACACATAACATAAATTCAAGTATGCAAATGCATACTTTTTGATATCAATATTATGACATTTTAATATACCCTTTATAAAAATATTCTCGTCATACATTTCTCTCCCTTTAACATTCCAACGCATTAACATACTGTGAAGTTTGTTCAACTTCCATCGATTAATTGATGTTTTTAAAACAGTCTTGAGTACAATATATGTATAATGTCCAGCCTGTTTGGAGATGTGGTTTTACGTCATAATTATGCTTAATTCGAGCATTGGATTTCTTTTCTGTAACGTCCATGGAAATACTAGATATGTATCAAACCATTAACTATTTGGCGCTTACTGTTGGTGGACAGACATTCCGATTACTGAAGTCGCTTTCGGAATCTTCAGCAATTACAGAAGCCGCCTTTAATTGAACGATGTCGCTGTGTGAGGAAATTCCGTTTGACCTCGGCTCTAGCTCCTCTTGTTTGATTTCGTCAGGGTTAACAGCGACAGGCACGGCTTTAGGGGGCGAGGGTTCAAAAATGTGTGGTTCCTGTTTCAGCATTAGGTCACTATCATAGTTCATTCGTAGGACGTCATTTTGCTGCTGCATGTGAGATGTTACGTGATTGATGGAGGGAAGAATCCCATGTGAGTGTCCTCCAACCTGTAGCAGGGCAGGAGGAGGAGAGCTTAGAGCTGCCAACACGGAACTGTGGGTCTGATATAAGTTGAAATTGGACGCACTTGGCTTCATGTCTAAACCTATATGTATGATAATTTCTACTGTTAATTCAATAATATTATACACAAGGATACATTTTAAAATTGTGCATATATAGTGTATGAATTCATATTAAATATAAAGGTATTGAGTATTGTATTGAATTTCAATATCATTTTTAAAAAAGAGAGAAAGTAAATATAATACTTTTATTGCATATTGAAAATGTGAACCTCAGTATTTAAATATAGCATTTACAAGTGTTCCGTACTTTGCTGAAAAGCCTAAAAATAACATCGGAATTTCTATAAAAATATCAGCTTCATTCACAAAGCTGACGACCGTTTACAACTTGTGAAAACATATCAAAGCTACATTCCTGAGTATTTTGATAAAATGTTATCTTTTATGTGTTATATAATCGCACTTGATATTTTCTAATGCTTTTAGGTGCCAAAAATGGATCCGTATTCTATTGCAGTAGACAAATTGTTGTATAAAAATGAAAATATTTATATTTTTTAGTTTAGAATAGAATTTATAACTCCAATCTTTGATATGTAATGTGTATATTTCCTCCATGATGTTCTTTGAAATATAAAGATGTGTGAAAGAGTAATTTCTTATACTGCTTAAGAAAGTTGTTATTAATTATTCTATAAAGATAACATGTATTATGTGTTTAGTTTCTGGAACCATCTGTCATTTCTGCTATGAAAATGAAATTCACACTAAACAATCCATGGTTTCTAGTCTGCGTTTTACGTCACAAACACTGATGCTGTAAGAAATACCGGTTTAGAATCATCACCTTGCGATAAATATCTACAAATTTCAAAAGTGATGGGAATGAAATGTAGAGCGCACCTGTCGAATGGTTATCGCTGGGATCTGAACGCGCCACGGACAAATCCAGGAGCCCCTGGGACGGCTGCTGGGGAAGGTGATAGGAGGAAGTCACCTGGGGCGGGGTGTAAATGGGCGGAGCCAGGGAGGGCTCTGGTTGATTGTTATGAAGGGAATCCTTTGAAGGGGACTTTGATTTTCCGGGAGTCTTAGGCTTTCTCTTGCGTGTTTGGATTCCGTCTTTCTTCATAGATAATGGCCTATTCACCTGTTACGAAAAAAGATACTTTTTAAATTGCAAAAAAGAGAAGCTTTCAAATTCTTTTAAAATTTTTTTACATTTTCAACAGATCAGCATATCGTGTCGTTGTGGAATAATTTTTAGTTGTAAGAGTACCTGATGCAGTTTGTAATACAGGCCGCATGCGTTACACACGGGTTCTCCCTCGCCATTGCGTCGCCATAAGGTTGTGGTCGAAGTATTGCAATTAGCACAGGATAAACCCATCCTGCTTCTGTTGTTGTTCTGTATCAAAGAATAATTATTCAAACTTTATTGATTTTTTTTTTTTTTTTTTTTTTTGCTTCTTCAATTTTAACATTTCATCAACGAAATCTCTGGATTTTATCCCTGTTCATTAAAATGTTCCTCTTAAACCTTGATTTCAAACAGGGCTACTTTCCAATCTAGATGTTATGTCATTAAAGTCGGACCTGAAGCCTGTGACTCAGAAATAAATAGATCTATTTCAGATACCCTGCTGGGTTAGCATGAACATGTGAGCACCAGTTAAGATCTTCATCAAAATGCGCGTGTATTTCTTAGCAACCAATGATTACAAAATCCCACAGGGACCTTCATCGTAGAAAGATATTTAGAAACAAACCAGGAATGAAAACAAAGTTGTATTTATTCTGAAACTCTAATAGTTGGGTGTGTTTCTTCTCTGGATGTGTACATGCAGAAGTCATACTTTATATTTCACTCTGATTGACATGTCGGGGAGATAAGAGGGGGGTTTTTTGGTGTTATTTCAAAGAGCAACTCTTATGAAATACAGCCGGAAATTTTATTACTACAAAATTTCACACTTTCAGCAAAACCAACAGATCTTGTGATTTAAATGTCCTGTTTGCCAATCAATTATGCGTTAAAACACTATTTTTCATTAGCAATTCACGTTGTTGTATGCAGTAGCACGTTTCTCACAACAAATTTTGAAACTCCCCCGAATTTTCCCTCCTCTGATCAGAAATTTTGTGTGTAGTGAACTTTTTCTCTACTAAAACATCTCCATGTTTAAATCCCTCACTTGTAATTTTTACGATATTTTTAATATTAAAAAAGGCTAATTGGTTATATAATATATATGTATTTTTTTCATATATACATATAAAAAAAACTGTAAAATTGTGTAAAATGTACTCACGATTCCGCTGAGCTTGTCAAACTTGTTGTCTTCTATCCTTTTGATGGGCGTTGGTGCCTTCTCCTCCTCGGAGATGGGGGACTCCTGCGGAGGAAACAACATGAACTGAGTATAAAAGAGAAATTCGTCCACCTCCATCCCCGCGAAAAACCAACTCGGAACTCAACTCAGAACACTGCGACCCTCAAAAACAAACTCAAAATGTTCGCTACACTGAGGGGTTTAAGAAAAGTTTAGAAGTTCTCCTTCCCCTCCGAAGAAAATGTCGAGAGGCAGCACTCGATGGTAAACTTTAGGGTTGAACTGAAATTTAATACCCTCCATGTGGACTTGCATCTCTTTAATAACCTGGGGCGCCTTGCGGGGTATTTAGAAGGCGGGGATTACAAATAAAGTTTACACCAGATGTTTCATCATTAAATAACGATCCCTGTGTAAGCATGTATTTCCTCAATGAAATGAATGGCAGCAGATCTTTTTTAGTCTTTGATTCATCAACTGATAGAAAGAACAGATATTGGTTCAAAAGAATTTTTACGCATGACATGAATTTTCAGAACTCAACACTGCGACTCAGTTTATTTTTATATAATGTACATTACAATAACAGGAGTTCGTTATTTGACTTTTTGGCTTTGCATTATTACGACATGATGATTTAGACGAATGATATAGGCTTAGCATGTCATGTTCTATTTATTGCCAATATCTTCCTCAACTAGTATGTAGATTGTTCATATTAATTAAGTTTAGTTATTGCAGGGACCTATATACTAATATATATATAGGTCCCTGGTTATTGCGGCTTTATTTAATTGTTGTTACATGCAATGTACTTACGATGGAAAAAATTATTGTATTATGTATTTATTTATTTGCTTAATATCTGAATCAGCAGATACATTTATAAGTAAATATTTGAAAATATTTACAAAAATATCACTGAATTCACGAAATAATGTGAATATACCAATTTATTTCTTCAAACTTCAGCAATATAGTTTATTATATTGTAATGGGGAAATTAAAAAATATCTTAATTATATTTTTTATTAGGAAACGTGAATAAATGCACGAATTATATGCATTTTCTGGTTGAAAAATTGTCAGCAAGTATTTTTTTAGGATAAAAAAAATATAAGTATCCAGGTGTTTGGAAAAAATGCATTGTATTTTAGTCTTTCTATTAACTTCAATACCCAGGTTGTGAAAACAT